GGAAGAGCCAAAAGTTACAATTTTCAAAATCTCACTGGTTTTAAAGAGCCACTAACATTTTTTTATTTTAAATATTTTATTTTTTTATTAAGATTATTAGTATGTGTGCAAGGAGCTGGAGAGCCGCATCTTGATATCAAGGGAGCCGCAGGTTGCCGACCCCTGAATTAGGTGTGTATGAATCTTCTAACAACGCAAAACCAATACACAAAAAAAAATATAAAAAAATACAAATTTTATATTATATGCCAGAATAGTAAACAAGGAGCCGCAGGTTGTCGAGCCCTGCATTAAGCGATTAAATAATAATTTCTGATATGACCCACTTTAAAAGTAAAATCAAATACCACTTTTGACGCTTATTAGTTTGACGAATAAAAATAACAAAATATACAACCAGCTAGACTTTTATGATAAATTGCTGTTGTTATATATGGATACATATATTACATGTTACGGCAAGCTCAGTTTATTTATTTTCTTTAACTAAGGAAAATCTGCTAAACCCCTTGTGTTTATTTAAAGAAAAGCCGGAGTAGACTCCCTTGGGCTATTTTTAGACCAGAGAAACTCGCGAACCGAGAGGTGGGGGGGGGGGGGGAGGGGGGGGGGGGGTAAAGAATGGTGAAACAAGGGGAGACAAAAGCCAACAAATCGATGGGTAATTGACGAGAGTCCCGACATTTAATCGGTGATCAGTGATTGATTATGGGCTTCGATCTCAATAGACTCTGGGATATACATGTGTTGTATTGGTTTTGTGTTCTTGTGTGGGCTTGTGTACGGGTGATTGTGTTGGAGAGAGAAAGTGGGTTCTTAGGGGTCTATTGTAAGCTGGGTTCTTAGGGGTCTATTGTAAGGCGGGTTCTTAGGGTTATGGAAGAAAGTAGGTTTTTAGGGGTCTATTGTAAGGTGGGTTGTTAGGGGTATATTGTTAGGTGGGTTCTTAGGGGTCTAAGGTGGGTTCTTAGGGGTCTATTGTAAGGTGGGTTGTTAGGGGTCTATTGTAAGGTGGGTTGTTAGGGGTCTATTGTAAGGTTGGTTCTTAGGGGTCTATTGTAAGGTGCGTTCTAAGGGGTCTGGAAGAAATTTGGTTGTTATGGGTCTTGTGTTAGTGGGTTGTTAGGGGTCTATTGTAAGGTTGGTTCTTAGGGGTCTATTGTAAGGTGGGTTCTTAGGGGTCTGGAAGAAAGTGGGTTGTTATGGGTGTAGAGAAAGTGAGTAGTTAGGGGTCTGGTGGAAAGGGGGTTGTTGAGGCTTGCAAGTAAAGTATTGTTTGGGGTCTGTTGGAAAGTGGGTTGTTAGATTTCTGGTGGAAATGGGTTTTTAGGGTTCTGGAGGAAAATGAATTGTCAGGGAACGAGAGAAAATAGAGAAAGTTGGTTATAATTTTACGAGGGATCTAGGGGACAGGGGGTTGTTATGGGACTAGAGAAAGTGGTGTATTTTTCCCGGCGAAACTAAGTTGTTTGGGGTCCATAGAAGCTTGGCTGTTAGATGTCAAGGGAATTATGTACTAAAGATAAAACATCTATAGTTCGGTGGGGTAGGGGGGGGGGCTTGTATGTCTAGCTTTAAGCCTAGTCCTCTTATTTCTATTGACTGAAGTTATTATTAAAAAATGGAATTTAAAAAAAAAAAACACTACAAGAGCACTTCAAACAGCGTGAATGCCAACCATGACTTTGACAACCATTACAACCATCTCTAAACACGAAATTTAGACTTAACGATTCTCTAATTTATCTTAATTTTTACAATTTCGTGTAAAAAAAATATCCCATACATTTTCTCATTAATTAATTAAAATCAGAGTTTCTTCCAGGCATCTCTTCGGGGGGGGGCGAAGCCCCCCCCCCCCCGAAATTTTTTTACCGCCCCCCCCCCCCGAACGAAATGAAATGTATATAATTTATATAGAAAATATATACTTTTAACAGTGTCCGCCCCCCGAAGAAAGTCTACCGCCCCCCCCCCCCCCGAAAATTTCAAGTGCCCCCCCCCGGAGAAAAAAGTCTGGAAGAAACACTGATTAAAATGTTATGCATTGTAAATAAAACGCATTTAGGAAGAATTAATCAAGATCGAAACGACGTGTTTTATTCATAAAACCTGCCAATTAAAAATAAATTAATTTTCATTTAATTTTTTTACGTGAGTTTCATTTATCTTCTTGGTCTAACTGACTTTGAATTTTCCGGAGTTATTTTTAGCTTTCGCACCATGTTGTTTTTTTTTCATTTCAGCTAGTTATGTATTGTTACATAGGCCTATTTTACTGATCCTACCATTTTATTTTAGCAAATATTTTGTCCAGCTAACACAATTTAACTTCTGATTGGTTTTAAATTTATATTTGAAACTTAGATATTTTTTAATGTTTTAAAGAGATTTAAATAGTCTTCAAAAATTTCGTTCCACAAAAAAAAAAAAGAAAACAAAAAGACGCTTTTTACAATGTACTACATGTTTAACTCTATTTGGTGACAACTACTTTAACTACTTTACCCTTTGTACCATGGCTATTTATTAAGACGTATTTCTAAAGATTACATGTGCTGTCGAAGACGTATACATCGAAACATTTGAAAAAAGGATGGTAAAGTGTAAAAAAAACGTAGCATTTATCCAATATAATTTAGACATGTGTTTAATTTACACAATATTATTTTGTAAACATGTTTTCATGTACTTGCAATCCAAAATCCAACTCCCCAAACCAAACCCACCTAACTAAATGTCCTAATTAATCATGCTTTCAGTACAATTTTCTGCATATTGGCTAATGAAATCGGATGAGAAAAAACTCTGGCCAGTGAATGTCAAGCTTTCTAATTAGCAAATGACAGCGGTAATCGATAAAGCTGTGTACTCGCATAATCGATGTCTTATTTTGTGGGCGGTAATCGATTTCGCCTTTAGTATTGTCGTAATAGAAATAAGCTGTTTATTACTGTAAATTTTAGAAAGTGGATCTTCAACAAAAAATAACGTTGCTCTATTTAAATAAACGTTAAGAGAAAAAAAAAACTTTAAAAACATGACAAGGAGGATATACTATTTTTTGAGAGTATGCTTCACGATTCACGAGGTTCTAAATTTTATGAAACGGGGTTAGGATTAAGGTAGGAATTACAAAGAGAGTATTAGGTGGTTGTTTTGAATAAAAAATAAGTTTACAAGCCGACAGTTGGGTTAAAGGAATTGGTTTGGTTATGTTTGGGAATTAAAAAACAGAACTATCTCAGGAGAAATCAAACAGTATAAATATTATACAGCCCACTCAAAGATTAATTCGTACGTATTTAGCAGTATAATTTTGCTTATTTTAAATTTCATTGTTTAAAACACCGTACTCCTTGAAAATTCAGTTAATCGTCTGAACGTTAATACCCATTATTTATACAAGCATACTAGTGTATAAATAATATGTAATTTATAAACATGTTAAGAATAAACATTGATTTCAATTTAAAAAATATTAAACTTTGAAATATTTATTTTCAAAAAAGCACTAACCCAAAACAACCCTGAATATTATGCGAAGTCTGAATTTTACAAAATTACGACGACATATAAAGCCCATTTATATTATTACCTGCTGTTTAAACCGCTACATCTTTTCCGTGTTTTGAACAGCAAATAAAAAATGCCAGGATAGTCACAAGTAGCTAAAGGACCAGATAAAATACGATGCGTTCATGTATATTTTAAGTGTTTTTGTAACATTTTTTCGAAGGTTTCTTTCATTTGTTTGATGAAATATCTGGGGTTTATTATAGCATAATTTCGTGTATTTAGTTCGCTGTCTTTGGCAGTAAAAAATATAGATCAACAACAATTGAACTTCAAGGAGTCAATTGCTTGTGCAGCCAGTTAGAAATTCAAAATTTTAATTGTTTTAGAATTATTTTTTTTAACTAAGCAAATATTTTAACTAATTAAAATACTGTATATAATGTAATTTAATTATTTTGGACCATATATTATTTCGCGTGAAAGAAGAAATATTTGACATTTAATTACACAACTAAGCAGGGCTTATGATATTCACGTTTCATTCATTTTATTAATGCTTCTATAATACGCTATGAAAGACATCGTATCAAAAATAAATAAATTAGCAGACCAAGAAGACAAGAAACAGTATAATTAGTCATCATTAATAGACTTGACTACACCCACTAGAAGCCAAACTAGAACGTGTCTGCTTACTTGGTTGAAGAAGGCTTAGCTTTTATTTAATATTTAACGTCGATTGTTAATGGTGATAAAAGCAAATGGGTGGTACATATTGACACAATTACTAGGAATCCAATGAAATCTGGATAGAGGTCACGTAGAAGTACTTAAACAAACTTTAAGTCGACAAATAAACTTTTTTCTTTAGTTAAATGGGGTGTGACTTTCACAGCTTTCCAAATTGTTTTGTCAAGAAACCTGACTATTGTCGAGGTTTTTTATATTTATTTTGTTTACTTTTTAAAACTCTGGGTGTATTATAGTTTTAATCATATGTTCAGAGAACAAATTTTAACAGTTTAAAAGGCTTGCGTGTTGTATAAGTTTATAAGTTTTGTGATCGAAATTGTTGCCGTATTCAAATAATAATAAATTAACTAAACGTAATTTACGCGAGTTTTACAAAATGGAAAACTAGTAAGCAATATACAGGTTTAATGGAGCATTAAGGAAACTTTCTCAAATCAGGACACACAACTCTTCCCTCCTTTCCCCTCCCCATTTAATGTCATAAAATACCACACTGTGTCAACCCACCAGAACATACAATAAAAATGCATATGTTGTATCCATTATAGTGAACCTCTCACCAATTAAAACTAAGTTACACATCACTGTTTTGTTTCTTTATTAAATTATGTATCTAATGAGCAGTTATTAATTATAAGAGCGTTATATTTGAATGTATGTGTGATTTTGGTTGGAAAATACTTTTAAATTGTAAAAGCTCCACGATGGCGTCAACATAAATGTCTTACCTCAATCACAAGGATCGCCACGCCCACACCAATCAAAATGGCCTTATTGCTGTCGACTTTGTCTACAACACTGTCAACACAACCCTGAAGGTGATACAGTAAATTTTTTTAATGTAATGTATGAAATGAATACTATAGTGGCATTACACTGTCACTAAATTCGAAATATGAATATCATATTGTAAAAAGTAATCAAAGACTACAGTTTATATCGAAAGGCACCTTTTCACACAACCGTGTTATACTTCTAAGAAAATTTAAAATGTTTTATTTGTTTAACATAACCGATAAATTTGTTAACGTATTTCTTTATCCATGATCCCATTTTAAGTGAAATAGAAATATTTATTACTTTTATAATTTCGAAAATGGAAAGCTAACACTACGAATACTTTGCTCAAGCAATCCTTTTATCAATCTATATTGAAAAGTTTATTTTCGTTTTAAGAATTGGTAATTTTAGCAGTTACTTTCTCTATTGATGGCTTGAAATGTTAATCTTAAGATAAATGATTTTAAATGAATGCTTGATGAAATTAAATAAAATTAACTGGGATAAACATTAAATTAAATACATGACAAAACTTTCTCTATATTTAAGGAAAATGGAAGAATAGAAGGACATTAAAAGTATTTGAGACATTGCTAACCTGATTGTAAAATTTGCCTGCTGTGCCATTTAAGCATGCTCCATTTTGGTTGAAACTATCTGTTGATAATGTCTTGCTATAATCCCATGCTTTGCAACATGTGATTGGGATGTAGAGTTCGCGGCCTTTGAAAAGGTCAGGTCTGTGACTGTCGTAAAATGGATATGCATTGTTTGCAAAAGTGAGGTTACGAAAATCTTTGGGGTCTTTAGCACCGCAACATTCCAACTGAAATATATTTGAAAAAGATATTGCTTTCATATAAGGAAAAAAAACGCTACTTTTTTATTTTAGTTAAAAATGAGTATGTGTCTAGATATAGACTTATTTCATTTTTTCTGCAGAATATTTAAGTTCTTATTAATTGAATTTTAAAAAAACATATAATGTAAATGTTAATCCCAAATCAAAAATGAATCCTACTTACAAAGTCAAACAGTGAGCTCCAAGCTGTTGATTTCCCTTTGCCATCCTCCTTGTACTCTTTTAGAGACCCTTGCAGTTCTACTTCAAGTTTATCCTTCATCTGTGTTAACAATCGTATATATATATATATATATATATATATATATATATATATATATATATATATATATATATATATATAGTGTCTGCGTTTGTGTTTTAAAAGAAGCGGGCCTGTTATTTTGAATATGTAAGTATGTTTCAGACAATAACTCCTCTGGTATTGCCTTTCTACCTAAAATATGTAATTTTATACTATGGTTTACTATCAGTCAGTGTTATACCAATCTCAACCCACTCATCCTTTTTGTTGCTTTTTCCAAGCTGGAATATGTTTCGGATCCTTCATAGATTAGTATTAATACTAAATTGGAACTGGCTAGTGTCTTTCAAATATTTGTTTAATCGGAGCTATTTACTTATACATATATTACAATAGGCAGGTCCATTAACATAAAAATAGTATGTAAATTTTATAAGCGAATTCAGGTTGTGGAGTTCTAGGAGAAAACACCATTTTAGTGTACCCGTTAATGTCAGATAGACTTTATTTTTCTTGAAATTTAACTGTGAAACGGCAAGATGATATCATCTAAAAAAAATAGAATCACGTATTGTTTTACTTACAAAGTCTCCTTTCACTGCCACAAAAACTACAATGGCCACTTGCGCAATAAGTAGAATGATCACAACAATTGCGTACTGAAAAAATTAAATGAGATTGAGCAAGATTTTCAATATATAATACTTAAACTGTTTGATTTAAATGTCGAATACACTATAAACAATAACTATGCACGATATTATATTGTGTTTTATGTATAATATTTTTTAATTTAAGTTTTTATTCATGTGTGATTTGACTTCAAATGTATTACTTTTATCTATGTAAAATAAGAGTATTATAAAATCATGTAAGGATTTTATAGAATAAGATATTTACGTACCACAGCCAACAGAACCCGGACTTTGCAGCAAGCACCAATACAGCCGAGTAGAGCCAGAACTAAGATGAAGGCACCAAAGACAATAGCACCATAGGCGAGGGCGTCACCGGCAAGTTGAATGTCACCACCAATATCGGGCAAATCAAACACATCTCTCACGTCTTCCCATCCAACTTTAAACACAATACCAGCCACAAGAGCGGCCAGACCAAATATCTGTTCATATCAGAAAAGTGAACGAATTTTTTTTTATTGGCGGATTTGTGGTAAATATTAATCTACTGATTAATCATACTAAAAAACACTGCAAAGCATAGTGCTGACCACACTATCACCTTGTATGTCGAGGTCGATTACAACAGATGAACTCTACTTCGTCTGCTCAATGTGTCTTAGGTATGATGATTGGGCAACATTGGCTTGTATAAAACGTTTTAAAACCAATATTCTTTCTTCATAAATAAATGGATAAAACAATACAGAAAAACATAGACAGTAAAACAAGTCTTTGATATTATAAATGCACATTTTACATAGAATGCTATAGGGTATGGGGTAGAGTGCATATGTATCACATAGTTTGGCATTTGAAAAGGTCCAATACTTATATTGGGCCTTTATATTATTTGTCGTATAAAGATTTTTTTTTTTGACTATTTATGTTTTTTTTTTTTTGGATTTGAGATTATATTATTTTAATCAATTTATTCTAAATTTTTCTTTGATTACTTTAATAAGAAAAATTAAATGATTATGTTTTCTTACCATAAAAATGATATTAATGATCACAACGACAACCTTCGAGCACTCCACAGCAACCATCTTGATGTTGTTTTTTTTTTTTTTGATGTTCTTCGAAATAAAACTTTAAATCTATCTAAACACAGAACCTATAATAAAAACAACAGAAAAGTAATATTAGCATCTCTGAATGTACACAGTAATTCACTATTGATAACAACTTCAAAAAGACAACGAATGGTATATGTCATAGCTTAATCCAGGGAAATCAAAGCAATTAGGCACTAAGATCTAATTATAATATTCGTGAGTTAATTATTTTAATTTTATTTAGTAGATGTTTTGCTACACAACATTGTATGTTTGACAATTTACTACAACTAACATTACACTTTTTATTCAAAAATAGCCAAAATTTTATGTCTATAAAAACTGTGAATGCTAATCTAAAATAATTTTAAATTTTCTAACGGTATAAAACACGGACTACCCTCTACCTGCGCTATCGGAGTTCTTAGTCCTCTGTCTCAGCGTGGTCGGTAGTCTCCCTTTAAATAAAGCGTTTAACGTCATAGCGCTAAAAATAGCCGTACGGAGACCTCGTGATCGCGTGTGACGACACACCTATTCGCCGTGTCGAGATTTCTCGAAATTAACAAATGTCCTCAATTATGTGTAGCTTTATAAATATACTTTAACTGATTTGTGGATGTAATTTACTGTGTTAATCTACAAATGTGATAATGCCTTTCATGTATAATATACAATAAAATGTATGAGCCTATAACAGAAATTGTCATGCCGGCGAAATGTGTAGCAATTTTTTTTTAGTAGACCAATGTCCACTTACGTGTTGTGAACTAAAGCCCAAGCCCCCTCCCCCACCCCTCTTATCAGTGACCGAACATTTATCATTCTGACTCATGCGAATTACGAAAGGTTCCCGTTCAAATATTTGTACTGTATACCACATCCAAGTTTAAAACAATCCTAACTGGTAGGCCTATACCACAATGTGCCCCCATCTGTTGCCTGACTGACTTGTTTATGGCCTGAGTGTTCAAAAAATCTGGCTCACATGAGCACACGCTGATTGGACAGACAAGAATGTTGTTATTCGCGTAATCTACATAAAGCTAGCACATACAAGAATGAATACATTGGAAAAATTACAATAGTACAATCAGGGGTGTGCTGCGTACGTACAAGAGGTCCGGGAAATTTTTTTTAAAGGGGCCCGCAAACCCAAATTGAAATTTTCATTTTTTTCCTATTAGAGGCGGACAATCATTCTTAACTTAATGGAAATTCACGTGATCAATTAATTAGAAAATAAAATTAAAGAACTAATAGGCCTAATACAGCACCGTTTCTGGGGGCCAACGGGATTTTTTACCTGGGGCCAACCGGGAATTTTCCCGGTAGACCAACGGGCCAGTCCACATTTTAACACAATAGAGAAAGCAAAACCCGTTTAGTTTTATTTTAGCTAAACGATTTTTATTTTAAATATAATTAAAATTCTGAAGAAATAAAAAAAATATATTATATAAACCGTCAGTTCATTTTCTGTGAGTTACGAGATACAAACAGAGGAGGGGGGGGGGGGGGGACTTGATATTTTCGGGGGAGGGGGGCGGACACAGGTATAAGTATATGTTTTATATATAAATAGAAACTCTGGATACAACGTAGATTGATAAGAACGAATTATCAGTACTAGGGTCCTTAACAAAAAAATTGATATCGATTTTGATTATTGAACTGACTAGTCATCACAGATTACCACTATTTATAATCTGTATTTATATATTCTAACTAGTTATTGAGAAATTGCTGGTATTTTAAATAAAGCGGGTTGATCTCCCTTAAACTTTCTCGAATATTCTTATTAAAAAATACTGGGGATGGCAACTCGGGATAAAGACATGATTTTTTTTATCAATTTTTAAATACATACATCTTTACTTTATCGTATTCGGAGTATATACGTTGTCTATATGCGTTGTGTTTATAGATATACAGAGTTTCTTCCAGGTATCTCTTCGGCGCCCCCCCCCCCTTCCCCCAAACGAAATAGAATTTATATAGAAAATATATACTTTAAACAGTGTCGTCGTCCCCCCATCTCCCCCCCCCCCCCCCCGGGAGAAAAAAGTCTGGAAAAAACACTGCATACCGACAACATTGCAAAACTAAGTCTTAACGGCTCAGGAAGCTCTAAAACGTCGAGACCTGTCAAAATCTTGATTTAGATTTTTTGCACGATTTCAATTCTTCCTCTATACTTCGTATACAAGAAAGTAAAGAGGTAATTGCTCAATCTTTGGACATTCTCAAGCCGGTGATTTCACTTCGCATTTCTCTCTATGGCGATTGTTTGATAAGATATGGCTATTTGATTCAAGATACAATACTTAAACTAATCAACAAATCGCACGCGCAATTATGAACTCACTCTTTTGATTTAACTGAGATTTTAATCAAGTGCTCTTATCTACCATGTGAGAGACTGCAATCAGTGATTCTTTCAGACGCATTTCTCAGGTGTGGGTGTGTGTGGGGGGGGGGGTGAAACTTTCGAACTTGTTAAAGTATTTATTTCCTGTAAGATTTATGTTTGTTTTTCAATTTTGCTCGAGGAAATGAGTGAGGACACGGTGTTTTCAGGGGGGGGGGGGGGGGGGAGGTAGGCAGAACACAGATGGGGCAGCGTGGCATAGAGGTAGAAAGCTGGACTGCTAACCAGAAAGTCTCGAGTTCGAATCCGGGTTCAAGTCAGTGGAACGTCCCTGAGTCCACCCAGCTCTGATGGGTACCTAACTCAAGTTAGGGAAAGTAAAGGCAGCTGGGCATTATACAGGCAGCTGGGCATAGTGTTGACCACATTATCCACTATATGAAACAAATGAACTCTACTTCATGTGCCAAAAAGGATCGCTAGATGTAAAGAGGAATTTTTACTTCTTAAAATTTGATTTACAATGTTAAAAAAATAGCCTCCAATCTGGCTAGGACTCAATATGGCTGCTGTAATATACGGACGTGTTAACAAAAAAAACTACATGCAAATATGTTTTCCCTGCATATTTTATTGCACACTATAAATGTTTTTATATACAGCTGTGTTATCAGCCGTGCTAGCACTTATATAGGCAAAACATGAAATAAAAATATGGGAAACCTTGACAATAACAATGGGTTTATGCCATAGAAGGTTGGTTTAGTATTGTATAACAGCGTTTTGTTATCAAGTTAGCGCGTTTCCACTTACATGTGTACTATACATATCTAGGGAAAAAAACAATTTTTGCATTGTCATCGAAAACGAAGGTATCAGGAAAGTTTGAACAAAATCGTTGCATTAGAAGTGGGTCAAAATAGAGTTAAAAGATTTGCCACAAACCCACAAACGAACATTGCGAACTTACATAAAAATGTTGGGGCGGAATAATAAAATGAGAAATTATGTAAAAAGTAAAAGTGTATACCTAAGAAACTTAAGGGCAAATAACTTGATACAAATTTGGTCTATTTGACACGGATGTGACGAAAATCTCATGAGTGTACTTAAATTAGGTCAGGGTGAGCACTTGCATGTAGGGAGTGTACACTTGTACTCGTCGATTGTAGGGACAATGAAGTGGGTGAAGGTCATTCAGTGCTATCCAGATTGAGGACAGGATGACTGACCAGCAGAGGGAAGTAGAAACTGGACTTTCACGACCACAACAACAATGTTCCCTCTAAGCTGCGCGGTTGTGCGGCCGCGCAGTAGTTTTGAGCTGCCGCGCAGTGATTTTTTAAAAATCAATATATCCTTGTATAGGACTTTTAGAACAGCGCGCACAGAAAATACATTTTGCACACTTGCTCCCCCCCCCCCCCCCCACCTCCCCAGAGGGAACGTTGGACAACAGTAGGCCTAGCATGGGAAAACTCCATTTGTTTGGAGATTTAAATCACTCACTTGTAGTATTAGTCCAATAAAGTAAAGTACCATTTTGAACCTGAAGGTTTATGGGGCAGGTGGTATAGCGTTCATCTGTTTCAGTGACCTCGGCATATTAGGGGGGGGGGGGGTGTAGTGTGGTCAGCAATATGTCCAGTCGCCTTTACCTCCCTTGACATGAATCCTTATCCCATCACAGCTGGGTGGACTCAGTATGCCAAGTTGCCTTTACTTCCCTTACTATATAGTAGTGTGAAAACTTGTCGGGGGGTACCATGTTTCACATCGCAATAAACGGATAACCGTAAGCTGTAGAAGTCCGAAATGTTCGGGTTAGATAGATAAAATGTTTTAGTACCGAATTAAGAAATAAAAATGTTGGTTAGCAAAATTACAATTTTATCGAAAACATGTGTATCGTGTCCCCTTAACGTGGGTTAGGTACCCATCAGAGCTGGGTGGACTCAGGGACGTCGTACAAAATCGAGCCAGGATTAGAACGAGAGACTTTTATGGTTAATACTTCTATTCTCTACTACGCGACCACCAAGGCCCACAACTTTTATTAGTAGATTTGCAAAATGCTAAATAAATTTTAAAATCCTACAAGTTTCAAAGCATTTACACACCAATATACGCATATATACACTCGCATCATGCACGCATACACGCACATACGCAAACACACACACACATCAACCACGCCTCTATTGTTAGGTTATTGAGATTAAGATAAAGACTAGATTAGCGTATGATGTTGATCCCTGTAAAGGAGGTACCTGTCAGATATTTTTCTCCGTGGTGAACTTGAAGCTTCAGAGTGGGGGAGGGGCACTTGAGGCTTTGGGTGGGGGTGAGGGGGGTGCTGACAGTTATATATTAACAATAAAAAATTTATATTTTTACTATTTTCCCATACACCACAGGAATTATGCTGGAAAGAGGAACTGCTTGTTAGAAAGTGCTAGCTTAAGGTCGAGGCTAGTGCATGTTTTTATTGGACCAGTATACAAATAGTGACCGGAAATGACCCTAACTATTTTAAAACTTTATTTATTTTTCTATTGTTAGGTAACTTAACTAAAGGGTGGTGGCACTTAAAATAATTAACAAAACAAACAAAAAAGCACAATCCGTCGATTTGT